TAAGGGAGGCCGAGTAACAAACACTCTGCAAATTCTCCTTTTTTTCGTCGTTTTCTAAAATACTTCCAGGAATTCCTCCTAATCAACGCTCGTAATAAACTTTTCTGGTAAAAATTGATTAATTGGATTTTCTATATATACCGAATAGGTCTGGATAATCTGGGTAGTGTGGACTTTTACGTTATTACCAACGGAAAGAGTTTATTAAATGGTTGCATTTTGTCCAACCCTTTTCCTACAGTCAATTATCCTTAATATATAATATTTAAAAAAATCAATTAATAAATTACGAAGAGATAAGGAGTTTCATAAGGTAGAATAGTCTATTTTCCATGATATTTGTTTTCAGAGGGGGTCTAGAGCTTATGGAGCTGAAAAAAGGAACGACTGTGAAGACGTACATTCCGAAAGTTGCAGAGGGTGTCTTCACCGTGATTTCAACGTTCAATAGGACTGATGAATATGTCCTGTATTATCACAGTGGGAGAAAGACAATTAGAATCTTCAGGTGAGAGACGAAACGGCTGAAGCAACTTAATGGACTCATTTTTAAGATGAAATTATAATTGATTGTCTCGTTCAGATCTTCTGATTGTGAGATGATAGCCAATTATCGAGTTCCAGCTGAGTTGAGTGCTGTTGACAGCACTTACGATGGCAAGAGCATTGTTCTTGGGACTGTCGATGGGTGTGTATCTGTGCTGGCTATTGCTGATCCGCAGAAACCCGAGATGAAGGAATACCTGAGAGCGTTACCCTCTAGAGACGAAACGGTATGGCACCAACAGATTATTATTTTTTACAATGCCATAGACTATTTACGTATTTTGTTGAATTTCACTTCAATTCATCCGAGGGAATTGCTTAAAGTTTCAAAGCGAATTGAATGTTATCTCATTGTAAGATTAATATAGAGCTTTTCAATATTCAATTTCATTTGAATTTTCTATATTCAAATTTCATATTATTTCGATTGATATATTTAGATTCGTTATGTTATTCGTTATGAATTTTTGAATTTGATGAATTTCTCGTGTCTGTATCGCTCATTGTTTAATTAAATAACAGCAGGAGCGTATGGATTTTTTTAAATTGCTGATTTCAATGAGCAGGCTATATTCACATGAATAAAATTCTGATGAATCGCAAAGTCATTGAAATATTAACATAAAAAATAAATCGGTAGCATTTTAATCAACGATGATGGAATTTTTTCAGAGAGTAGTCATGCTTTAAAGCAAATTGATAATTAACTAACAGTTATTACCATGATAATAAGAATAATTCAGTGGTAATACTACCGCCCACCCAGTGAAAAAAATTATTTGGGCTCCTGTAACTTCAATTATTCTAATTTTAATTAACCATAAAATTGGGAAATTTCTATTATCCGATTATAAATGACCATCAGTAAGATTTAATTCTTTCAAGCCAATAGTTTAAAAAACAACTCCTCAATTTTTCTTAAACTGTCAGGTGAAAAAAAATCGTAAGCCGTAAAAATAAAATTCATTCCTACTTGAACCTAACGGAGTTATTCGAGGTTAAACCCTCCCAAATTTGCAAAATCGACCTTTTCATATTTTTCTCTATACAACTCAATTGGTTGAAAGTGCATCCAAAACCTGAACAATTCATCAAAAGGGAAACAATTGATTTCAACAATAAACGCTAAGAATAATAGTAAAAGTGAAAATTGTTGGTAAAACTCACGTGAAAAGTTCAATTGGTGTTTTTTGGAGGATTCGGGTGCCGC